TTTATAAAGAGCATGTAAGAAAAAAATTTTTTAAAGGAATTTCTGAGTTAAAACCAAAATAGATATTTCCTTCCTATAGAAAGGTTTATAACCTTTAATGTCCTGATAATACTTTGCAAGCCTCCAGGGAAACATTAATGTGTATAGTTTCTCAAACTTAATTTTACCAGGAAACCTTTTTTTCCATGGAGCTTACCATTCTGCACAAGACCTTGGGAAAACACCAAGGCGGCTGTCTCTACATATGCCATTTGCAATTTTTCAAAGCCTTGAGTTTAGTTATTGTCCAATGTTCTATAGGGCTAAACCAAAGTCTGTGTTTCCATTCTCTAATGATTAGACATTGAAACTGTTTCTGGTTCTTCAGTTTTACCAGCAATTCTAGAATTAATCTGTTGACTTTGTGGCCCCCTTCATTATTCCCGTAAGTAGTGGAATTGTCATAGTAAAGTGTCAGAACACACATCAGACTTTGGAAGTACATTATCTAGTTGCTTTCTAGAAGGTTCATACCTCTCTGTCCTTCTGCCACGTGCTAGAGGCAGGCCCACTTAGCATCCGCTGTAGGTGGAGTCTTGAAGGTCCATGTTTTAAATGCTTCAGTCCCATTGTGGTGCTGTTGAAAGGCAGAGGGCCTGCAGGAGGTGAGGCCTTGTGGGAGGTCTTTATGTCACTTCAGGCATGCCTTGACAAGGGTTAGGGGATCCTAGTGCTTTCCTTTTTCCTCTCTTGTTCTCTGGCCTCTCATGAGGTGAGTGGTTTTGCTCCTTCTCTGATGTGCTGCCTCACCACAGGCCAAAAACAAAAGACCAACTCATCATGGACTGGAACCTCCAAAACTCTGAGGCTAAATAAACCTTTTCTCTTTCTAAGTTGTTTATCACAGATATTTTGTTACAGTGCTAGAAAGATGAGGACACAACATTCATCCGCAGAAGCTGAGAACCGAAGAAGCTCAAAGTGTTTGAATCAAGGCCATTTCCTTCTTTCTTACCATGTAGACATCCATCAATTAAAAACTACATATTCAGGACTGGAGAGATGGCTCTGTGGTTAAGAATGTGCACAGCTCTTGCAAAGGGCTGGAGTTCAGTTCCCAGCACCTAGGTCAAGTGGTTCATAACTACCTGTAATTCCACCTCCAAAGAAGCCCTCGTCTGGACTGTGAGGCCATTGCACTCACATGCATGTGCCCGCATGCATAATTAAAAAAATAAAAATAAAATATTTTTAAAAAGTAACATGCCAGACTGGAGAGATGGCTCAGCAGTTAAGAGCAGTGACTGCTCTTGGAGAGGACCCAGGTTTGAATCCCAGCACCCACATGGCAGCTAACAACTGTTTGTAACTCCAGGTCCAGGGGATCAGATCCGATGCCCTCTTCCAGCCTCGATGGGTGCTGCACAACACGGGCGTGCATGCATATGTGCAGGCAGAACACGCATGCACATAAAATAAAAAATAAAATAAAAAATAATTCAAAGTCACATGCCCCCAAAATGAAGATTGCTGTTTTTTTATGAGGCAAATTGATCTGAAATTCTCTGTGCTGGTCCCAAATAATTAAATGTTGAAAGTTGCCTGAACACTGAAATTTGGAGTCTGTATTTTGCTGGGTAATTTGTGAAGAAAAGACTTGGAATTGAGATCTATTGCACTGATTTTCAAATAACTTTTTAAGGTGAGACTTTAAAAACAAAGCTTTGTCAGCTCCTTCAGTTGTTGCCTTTATTTCTAGAAGAATCTATCCACTGTGATCATCCCATCAGTGTTACTTCTGAGCTCACAGAAATTAAGTTTTATCACGTAGTCAGTAGCTGACTGTGGTGCAGTTGCGTTCTGTTTATACGGGAAAAAGAATACCTATTGTAGGCCAGAAGTGATTTATCTTTTTGTCCTTCAACAAATATTACCCTTTAGTCAATGCATTATTGAGTTTTAGAACCAAGACATCAACTCTTAACTCATTAAAACCCCTAAGTCTCCAGCAGTAAAGCCCTTTTAAGTGACTTCACCAACAGATTTATTTCAAAGCAATTCCGTTCTAAGGAAGGGACGAACACATAATATGCATTATATGCTGGGGGCTTTTCAATAATTCATGAGACCTGCACACCACTGACTGTTTGAGAGGTAGCTCTTGGCGTCAGAGCCCAAAGGGAATCAGTGTCAGACCACAGCCATGATGTGCTCCTTTTTTGTGTGAAAAGTGAAGTCCCTACTGATTCTCTTTGTGGAGACTGTTTTAAAACAAATGGGCATTTGCATAATTTGCTGAAAGGTCACTTTAGATGTATCCTGTACCCTTAGCAAAGCTGGGTGTTTCCAGACTTTTTTTTTTTTTTTTGTCTTCTTATGGGCAGGAATTCAGAAGGGTTTTGGCATGTGAGGAGTGGATTGCCAAAGGGTAGGCTGACTATGGATCCACGGACAAGCACAAGGGTGGTCTGTGAATGTGGAAAGGCTTACGTGCTGCTGTGCAGTGAGATCTGGAGCGATGCTCATGCACAGAGGAAAGGGCCTCTGCCTCAGCACCTTGGGCTCTTGAGTAGTTCATCTTTAGTGCCTGGACCCTGAGCTCCATCCCTCCTCTCCTTCCTGAAATCCACCAAATGGAGGGATGGTTTTACTTCAAGGGAGAGACTTGCATGGAGTCAGCTGGGCAGTGAGGCAGTGCCTCCCCAGCATTCCTGTAAGGCCTCACTATCCACATATGATCATTTTCATTTGACAATTATTTATTCACTGAGAAGTACCTTGTGGGGAATAAAACAAATGAGTACAGTTTCGTTGTTTCCCAGAAGAACTTCAGGATCCATCCATCTTTCCCTCTCTCCCACTTCCTCCATAATGCACCAATAGAATTAGCTGGTTTTTCATTTTAAAATATTTTCTTACATATATTTATTTACACATTTGCTTATTTGCATTTATTTATTTATTTATTTATTATTTATTATGGGGTAAGTGGAGGTCAGAGAACAAGTGGGTTCCTGGAATTGAACTCAGATCATCAGGCTCGGTGGGGAGCACCCTTGCCCACTGAGCCATCTCACCAGTTTTGATTTTTCATTTTAACTTAAAATTTTTTTACTTGAAATTATTTCAGATTTATATTATACAGCCCTATAAATGTAAAAATTAACAGCTATTCTTCTAACATTTTGAGGAATATTATGTAGCTCCAGCATATGTACATTCATTCCCATGTACATGTTATACTAAATTATATCCTCTGTGCTGCATGTACATGTTATACTAAATTATATCCTCTGTGCTGCATGTACATGTTATACTAAATTATATCCTCTGTGCTGACTTGAGATGTTTTTCATTTACCACATGTCAAAAGTCCTTTTTCCTGTTAAAAAAATCTTCATCATTTCAGTTGTGGAATATTCGTTCCATTATACACACAGATGCTGGAGTCAGCTCCTGCTGCTGTAACAAAATGCTGTAGAGTAGATGGGTTAAAGGACAGGCCTTTCTCACAGTTCTGGGGGGAGACCAAGGTGCTGGCAGATTTAGTGTTGCAGACAACCACCTTCTTGCTCAGTGTGTGTAAGAGAGATGGGGGGAGGGTGAGAGGGAGGGAGGGAAGAGAGATATGGTTTCTTCCTCCTCTTATAAAGGCTCTGATCCCATCATGGGTGGGTAGGGGGAGGCTCTACCATCATGACCTCATCTGACCCCAGTGACCTTCCATCTGACCTTCCATGATCTTACCTCCTAAACGCCATCACACTGAGAATAAAGATGTCAACCTAGGAGTTGTGTAGGGCACATAGATATTTGGTTCAGAATGTTACCTAATACTGTGATGAACATTTAGGTTCTTGTCAGATTTTCATCTCTGTCACAACATAGGGATATGTTTTTCTGTGCTTGGTGTCACTGTAGTGTATGTTCCTATAAGAGGATTGCTGGGTCAAAGGGTATGCACATATTAATTTCTGATATGTACTGTTCCCAGTGGCTTTGAAAGGAGGTAATGAATAACATTCCCACATAGTATATGAGAGTGCCTTCCTTCCCAAACCCACACCAACACTGGATGTACGCCTGCTTTATATGTATTAAGTTCATACGTGTCTCACTGTTTTTTATTACATTCATTACATTCTTTCTGTTAATTGAACAGAAAACATTTAATGGGCCAGGCATGATGGCACATGCCTTTAATCCCAGTACTCAGGGACAGAGGCAGGTGGGTCTCTGTGAGATCAAGGCTAGCCTTGTCTACATAGCAAGTTCCTGGCTAGCCAGGGCTTCAGGGAGACCCTGTTTCAAAAATAAACAAAAAACCAAATAAGATATTTATCAGCAATTTATAGTAGAGATGTATTGCCCATTTCCTTGCTGAGCTCTCTTTTTCTTATTGAACCCTTCTAAGATATTTTTTGTTAAAAAACACAAAATGAGGTCCGCCTTCAAAATTTATGTGCAGTGTGTGCATTCTGAGAATTAGCCATCTCATTAAGGACAAAGGATCCCAGGAGCCAGTGGTACTTGCATTCTTCTCTTTGGGAATGAAATCCATCTCATGTTGCCCTTAGCTCACTCTGGGTAGGCAGAGCTGGCAGCCAGCAGGGCCTGAAGGCATGCAGCCCGCTCTTCCTGGGCAACTCTGCAAGGTCTTTTGTTTCTCTCCCTTTGGATTGCATCTTTCTCTTACTGCTGTATAATTCTAATGGGATTGCCCTGGGTCAATAATAATAGGTAAATGAGTAACAGAGAAAGGAAAGTTCAGAGGATGGGAGCATGTAAAATAAAGTCGCTGTCTAACTTCTGCCTAGGAGGAGATGTCATGGTTCATAAACCACAAGTGTATGTATAGTTGGGGAACAAAATTTATTATTCAATTTAAGCTCTGGAAAAATCCCAGGAGGAATTTAGAACTCCAATAGGCAGGATGTAGTATAAAATTTTAATATGTGATTTAGGAATGCTTAAAATCTGTTTGTTCACTGTGGCTAAAACTGTTGATTGCTTTTAAACAGTTTCACTCACTGGCTCCCATGTACTATCGAGGATCTGCTGCGGCTGTCATAGTGTATGACATCACCAAACAGGTAAGAATGTCTGTGTGAACTTCAAGTGCCCTCAAGACTGTCCTAGAAAGACCATAGCAGATGTGGTACTGTGTGAGTCTCACCAGTGCCCTGGGAGGCTTCGCAGCATGGAGGCAAGGTCATGCTGTTAGAACTTTTCTCCAGCATACCAACTTTTCAAGAAAAGAGAATTAAGTTTTGCATGTCTCATCATTATAGGAGAGCTGGTTATTTTCTGTTAGTGGTTCAGTTGTACCACTAAAGATCAGAGATGTGTGTGTGTGTGTGTGTGTGTGTGTGTGTGTGTGTGTGTTTGTAGGCAGCTGTCCCTCTTTGTGGTTGTCCCTTTCTGTAGTTCTGGTTACCCAAGGTCAACTGCTATCCAAAAGTATTGAATGGGAAATTCCAGAATCAAGTCTTATGTCTTAAATAATTGTTATTATAATAGACATAATTATTCTGTTTTGTTGTTAATATCTTACAGTGCCTAATTTACAAGTTAAACTTCGTCGTAGGCATGTATGCAGACAAAAATACAGTATATATAGGATTGGGTTCTCTCCATAGTTTCAGGTATCTACTGAGGATCCTGGGATGTGTTGATTACAGGTGACATATAATAGAAATGTATTTCAAGTTATCATGTTAAGGCTCTAGGATATTCATTATCAAACAATTGCAGTGTTCTGATGACATTCCGCATTTCTCCCCATTCCCTGTGGCGTTTGACCATTAGCTTACTGATCCATTGCTGTTACAGTCTGACTTCTGACCACTTCCATCTAACTGTGCTGTCTGCCTTGGCCTCTGTCCTGGAGAAGGGTTAGGAGTGAAGGACTGAAAAGGAAAACAGGACTGAAACAGATGAGTTTCTCTTCTGAAGTAAGCATAAGCGTTTGCTTCGTCCTGTTATCCTACTCTGAAGGAGTCAAAGCTGTTATTTTCAATGAATGGTATTTGCAGAAGAAACTTACAATATTTTTCATAGCTGCTTCAAGTTTTAATTTTGAGAAAGGACTCTTTTATAGGCCAAGGATAGCTTAGCTCATGTTAACTATACGGCTCCTAAAAATCCTTTTCTACACTGAATTACATGAGGTTTGTAGTTCTGCTTGGTTGAAATATTGTACTGACAGGTCTTTTCAGTGACTCATCTGTGCTTTTGGTTTAGGATTCATTTCATACCTTGAAAAAATGGGTTAAAGAACTGAAGGAACATGGCCCAGAAAACATTGTAATGGCCATTGCTGGGAACAAATGTGACCTCTCAGATATTAGGTAAGATGCGTTTACATACTTTTTTGTCTGTAGTTCATATCATCCATTCCTGAATGTCTGTGACTAAAAAGCACCTGTTGATGCCTGTGTTCTTGTTTTAATGATTCAATTGATGGTCCCTCACTTGAGGTCAGTTTGGTATTATCTAACCAGAATGGAATTGTGGGAAAATGATGCAAATCTGTTGACTTATACAATGATGAATATTACAATTGAACCACCTATATGAAGCATAGCTGCATCTATGACTCTAGATGCCATTGGGCTAGATTGTTCTGTTATTTTTCTGGTCACCTTTTTTCATTATTATTGTCATTATTACTGCTAGCACAATTTTAGTAACACTTCTATGCACAATTGACCATTAGAATTCTTGGTGTTTGCCACAGCATCTGCTTGTTTTAAATTTTAGCTTAAGGATATAGTCCAGTCTATATAATTTACTATGTTGATCTAAGATCTGAATATGATATATTTTATAGGAGCATTTTAAAAATATTTTCTTTTTTATTTTTGTTTTATGTGTATGCATGTATTGCCTGCACGTATGTAGGTGCACCTGTGTCATGCGATGCCCATGGAGGTCAGAAGAGGGATTCAGATTCCCTGAAACTGGAGTTACAGATGGTTGTTAACCACCATGTGGGTGCTGGGATTCAAACCTGGGTCTTCTGCAAGAATAGCCAGTTGCTCTTAACTGCTGAGCCATCACTCCAGCCCCTGTACGGGCACTTTTAAGTGACAGCACCTGAGTGACAAGGGCTTAGGGAACTTCCTTGACCAAATGTCTTAGTCTTTTTTCTAGTGTTAGATCAAAATAGCAGAGGCTGTGTTTTCATAAAGAAAAGAGATTTATTTAGCATTGCCTAAAGTTTCAGTAATGGGACACTGCTGCTTAAAGTCCCCTGACTATATTATAATATGGTAGAGAAACGGAATGAGCCATGTGCACAACTGATCTCTTGGCTAGACAGGAGGACAAAGAGATTCAAGGGCCAGTTTTTCTGTTTTTATAACAATCCATTCTTTCAGGAACTAACTAGTCTCATGAGAACTGTGTTAATCTTTTCTAATGGTTCCTACCATGACCTAATCACAGTCTCTTCATCCACCATCTCAACATTGCCACACTGTGACCAAAGTTCTAGCACATAAGCCTTGGGAAGCACACTTAAACTGCATATCCAAACAGAAACATGTAGAGAGAGTGGATTAGAGACTTGATGATAGTTTTATCTAGCCTGTTAAGCCAGCTGTTTATTAAATGAATGCTATTTCAAAAAGTTGTATATTAGTTCTCCCTTATCCATGGCAGGTCCATTTCAAGACCCCAGTGGATGACTGAAAACACAGATAGTACTGAACATATTATATACTGTGATTTTTCCTCCTGTATGTACAAATCTATGATGAAGTTTAATTTATACATTAGCTATAGTAGTAAAAGATTAGTAACAGTAACTAACATAGGACAATTTGTAATAACGTACTATAGTGAAAGTTATTTAAAGCTTATGAATTATTTATTTCTGGAATTTTCCATTTGATATTTCTGGGCTCTATTGACTGCGTACCCAGTGATAGGGGATCTACTATCAAATCTGTGTTGCCTCCATTCCCTTGGCTCCTTTAATTCTCTGGAATTTCCATTATTGATTTTCATAAAGATAAGTAGACCGTGTTTCTGGTTTTGCTATCCAAATATGATTAAACCAAAGTTAAATAAGCATTGAAAATGGATCTTGCAAAAGTTCTTAACATGGCATTTGGCAAATTGCTCTGTTTTTTTTGGATTGCAAATGCCTGTATCATATTGCATCTGGCTGGTTTATAATAACATCTGTGAACACCTCTCATTTACTTGTTTATCTGGGGGTTGGACAAACCTTTAAACTCACCAGACTAAGTTCAGATATCCCCTTTCCTTACTGTAATCCTGAAGCAACTTTTTGGCTAGTGTTTCCTATGTTGGGAGGTGGTTGGGCAGAGTCAACCTTGCTGAGAGGAAGCCTCATCTGACACATTGTGATAAAGGAAAACTTTGATTTCTCTCTTGGGGGGATATAGGTTGTGTGCCGCTGTGTGTGTGTGTGTGTGTGTGTGTGTGTGTGTGTGTGTGTGTGTGTGTGTGTGTGTGTGTGTGTAAATGCTAATGGACTAGAATTTAAGTAGAAATTGGTTTCAAGTTGAATGAGATAGGACTCTTGGCTACATGGAACTGAAACCCAACTGAAATTAATTTTAGGAAAAAGGAGGATTCGTTAGAAGGCACTGCTATCCACATGGCAAAAAAAGAGCTGCCTTTAACTCCGGTATTTGATATGTTCCAGTTTGTCTCTGGAGAAACACTGTCCTAATATTCTGTGTTTCATTTTTCCATATCATGACAAGGTGCTCGTGACCCACAGATGGGATGTGGCCAGTACAAGGTGATAAGGGAGGGTGGGGGCTCTTGATGATAGATCACTGTGTTCTCCAGATGAAACACATTTGCTGTGTGTGCTTTACCCCCCACATCTCAGTCTTGCTGTTCCCACAGTGGACTCCACCATGTTCTCTGCAGACATCCTGATATATGCCCAGCTGACTCCTATATATCCAGCCAATATGATCTGGCTAATAACCTGTCCATCTCATTTCCAATGATAAAGTCACTCACGACACCTCCATCCCATGGGATGACCATCCAAGATCATGTAGCTACTGCCTCTGGTGGTGACATCAGGGCACATTGTCCCCCATAGGTCAGCCTCTGTGAAATTTCCTCTGCCCCACTAGTTGGGCCTCAGTGAATATGGCTCCTCATGATCCTATAGTTGTCTAAAATGCAGAATGTATATCTTTTATCATACACAAGTTATTCAAGACGGCAGTTGTTTTTGAATTATGTGACAAAGGAAATGACCATTTATTTATTTATTTATTTAATTAATTTATTTAACTTATTTTTACAGTTCTAAGTCAAACCTCTAAATAGGTTAGTGAGAAAGACTGGGGGGAACTGGAGATATGGCTCAGCAGTTAATAGCACTTAATATTCTTGTAGAAGACCCAGGTTCCGTTTCCAGCACCACATTAGGTGGCTCACAACCACCTGTAACTCCAGTGGTTCCAGGGTATCTAATGGCCTCTTCTGGCCTCTGGGGACACACGTGTACTTACTCCCACACAGACACACACAAATACACGTAATTAAAAAATGTTAAATTACCATTGAAATCTACCTGATGACTTTATATCCTTACTCAGGTGCCAAGGATCCGAGTGTAACCAACTATGACTAGTAATAATCAGATACATAGAGATTAAAGACACATGTGCAAACATCTAAGCGTTAGTAGCATTAAAAAATGTAGGAAACAGCATATTTTAAAATTAAATGGAGATCTTCTTTAAAGGGTAAAAACGAGTTCAATATTGTATAACTGTATTAATTCAACTGTGAACCTAAAAATTTACAGCCACTTTTGAAAGAGATGTATCCTTGCTCTGGAAATTGCTCTTGCTGAATATTTTAAAGCTGTAATGAAATGTTTCTTCTAATCATGTGGTTATTAAATTTAAAAAATGTTAAATTATTAACATTTATTTACTTGTGTGCATGTGCATAGATTTACTAGCATTAAACTAGTCTTGGGCCGACAAGATAGCTCAGTGGGTAAAAGTACTTGCTGCCAAGCCTGACAGCCTGAGTTCAACCCCATGACCCATATGGTAGAAGGAAAGAACCAACTCCCATAAGTTGTCCTCTGACTTCCACATAAGCACTGTGGCATATGTGTTAGTAAATTTAAAGTTTTTTAAACATCCAATCTATTCTATTGAAAGCTTATAGCCATAAGATTCACCTGTTTTGAGGGTGCAGTTTAATGAATCTTGATTGTTTGAACACTTCCATCTCTGTATAAAGCACTTTGTCCGTCTATTGTCACTCTCCGTTTCTATCTCCCTCCAGCCCTTGGGAACAACAAATCTACCTTCTTGTCTCTACAGATATGATTTTCTGGACACTTTGCATAAATGAAATCACATATGCTCTTTTGTTTCTTTTTTATGCTTAACATAATATAGTAAGAACTCATCTCAGTATTTTATGTAAAAAAAATTAACTGACCATAACTGTTGACTTACTTTTGTGTTCTGAATTTTATTCAGTTGATCTATATGCCTGTTCACATGTCAGCACTGTACTATTTTAATTGATCTAGATCAGTAATAGGTTTGAAATTAGAAACAGTAAGTATTCCAACTTTATTCTGGCTTAAGTTTTTTTTATTATACTTATTATTTGTTTTGGGGGTGGGGGCAGCCATGCATGAACCATAGCTTGGATAGAAATCACAGGACGACTGTGGAGTCAGCTCTCTCCTTCTACCATGTGGGTCCTGGGGCTCTAACTCAGGCTGTCAGGCTTGGCATCAAGCCCCTCTACCCACTGAGCCATCTCACTGGCCCTCATTCTGTTGTTGTTTTTATTTCTTTTCTTTTTTAAAGATTGTTTTTTTCTGGGTCTTTTGTATTTCCACATGAATTTTAGGATCCATTTCTCAATTTCTGCTAAAAAAAAAAAAAGGTAGCTGATATTTTAATGGAGATGGTGTTAAATGTTTAGACAAATTTGAATATCACTGCCCTCTAAATAGTATTGAATCTTCAAATCCAAAATATGAAACGTTGGCTGGGGAGATGGCCTAGTGGGTAAAGTACTTGTCATGCAAAGGTACTTGTCGTGTAAGGTTCTGAGTTCAAGTCCCCAGAACCCATATAAATCCGGGTGTGATATTGTGTGTCTGTAATCCCAGTGCTCCACCAGCGAGATGGGAGGCAGAGACGGGAATCCCTGCAAGCTCACAGGCCAGTTAGCCTGGTATAAGCAGTGGGCTGCAATGAACAGCAAAGAGACTGTCATAAACAAGGTGGAGGGTGAGGACTGACACATCCGAGGCTGCCCTCTGACTTCCACACAGGCACACATGGCACACACACACACACACACACAC